CGCATTCGCTCAAACGTGTGGAAATCAAGGCGATGACAGGGAAGAATCATAAAGATTGGGCTCAAAAGCCAATGTCGGACTATCATCAATCCGGAGTATGGTGGAGAACCCGCCTTGCAAAGCCGAAGACATTAATGCGCATACTACATCGTCATTGAAGGCAAGTTAGGGGGCTACTGAGGGAGTCCTGGTTTCGGGGGTCCTTAGGTGTCCGGCTCTAGGATGTGGGCCGGACTAGATGGGCCGTGAGGATAAAGCTAAGGATCATCACTCCGTGTTCAGGAAGGGCTCCTGTATGCGTGGACGGCAAGATTAGAGTCCGGGTGTATTGTTTCTTTCCCTTGTGAAACCGACTTTGTAAAAACCCTAGGCCCCTCTGGTGTGTATATAAATCAGAGGGGTTAGTCCGTAGAGGTTATCCTGATAATACTCATAGGCTAGACAAGCTAGGGTTTAGCCATTACGATCTCGAGGTAGATCAACTCTTGTAACCCCTATACTCATCGAATACAATCAAGTAGGACGTAGTGTTTTACCTCCTTTAAGAGGGCCCGAACCTAGGTAAACATTGTGCCCCGGTGTCCATTGTTACCATCGATCCTTAGACACACAGCTTGGGCCCCCCTACCCGAGATCTGCCAGTTTTGACACCAATAGGGGTCGCCCCCAGTAGGATCCGAATCCTACTTGGGGTTTCCCCAAGTGGCGCCCCCCTGCCTTTTTCCACCGGAGAAGAAAGGGAAGGGGAAGAGAGAAAGGAAAGGGGGGCGAACCCCGCCCCCCCTTTTCCTTCTCCCAATTGGCCTCCTACCATAGGGGGGCGCGCCACCCCATGTGGGCTGGTGTGCTCCCCTCTCATGGCCCATATGGCCCATATCTTCCCCCGGGGGTTCCGGTAACCCCTCCTGTACTCCATAAATACCCGATACACTCTGGAACACTTCCGGTGTCCGAATATCATCGTCCTATATATCAATCTTTACCTCTCAACCATTTAGAGGGTCCTCCTCATGTCTGTGGTCACATCCGGGACTCCGGACAACATTCGGTCACCAAATCACATAACTCCTATAATACTATATCGTCAATGAACGTTAAGCATGCGGACCCTACAGGTTCGAGAACTATGTAGACATGACCGAGACACCTCTCCGGTCAATAACCAATAGCGGAACCTCGATGCTCATATTGGCTCCCACATATTCTACGAAGATCTTTATCGGTCGAACTGTTATGACAACATACGTGATTCCCTTTGTCCATCGGTATGTTACTTGTCCGAGATTCGATCGTTGATATCTTCACACCTAGTTCAATCTCGTTACTGGCAAGTCTCTTTACTCATTCCATAATACATCATCCTGCAACTAACTCATTAGTCACTTTGCTTGCAAGGCTTCTTATGATGTGTATTACCGAGAGGGCCCAGAGATACCTCTCCGATACTCGGAGTGACAAATTATAATCTCCATCTGTGCCAACTTAACAAACACCTTCGGAGATACCTGTAGAGCATCTTTATAATCACCCAGTTACGTTGTGATGTTTGATAGCACATAAGGCATTCCTCCGGTATCCGGGAGTTGCATAATCTCATAGTCGAAGGGATATATATTTGACGTGAAGAAAGCAATAACAATAAAACTCAATGATCAATATGCTAAGCTAACGGATGGGTCTTGTCCATCACATCATTCTCCTAATGTTGTGATCCCGTTATCAAATAACAACTCATGTCCATGGTTAGGAAACCTTAACCATCTTTGATCAACGAGCTAGTCAAGTAGAGGCTCACTAGGGACACAGTGTTTGTCTATGTATTCACACATGTATTTAGGTTTCTGATCAATACAATTCTAGCATGAATAATAAACATTTATCATGAATAAGGAAATATAAAATAACAACTTTATTATTGCCTCTAGGGCATATTTCCTTCAGAAACCTCTTCACAAGGAAAAGTTTTTCCATGGATTGCTTAACTGTGTATTTTGCAATGAGAATGCACAGGAGGTGTTAAGACACCTTTCTGGGGACTCATGTTTTGCACAAGATTGTTGGAGCAGTATCATCCCAAACATGAGGCTGGGAATTTCGATTTTTGATGACATCCTTGTGGCTCAAAGCCAACTTTCTCCTAAGATTGCAATGGATATAATTATCCAAGGAAGCTGAAATATTTGGTTGCAAAGGAATGAGAAATTATTCAGACGAAAAGTACCAAGTGTTAATTGCTGAAAATTCAGACTCAAAACTAATTTATTGCTGCTGAAGCACATGATCTTGCCCAAGTACTTAAACTGATCTCATCTGGTATGAGTGTTGTGGCAGGAGCACTACATTGATAATCTGATGATACCACGAGCAGGGACTGATTAAGTTTACTTTAGGATTTAGTTTTCTTTCTCTTGTTTTTGTAAATATTAAGTCTTTGCTTGATTAATGAAAATTACGATAGAACTATTGTTCTCCTATCTGTGCTTCAAAAAAGGCACTCATATAGTATTGCATAGTCGATTAGAATTTAACAAATTGTCGAGCGGTTTTCAGAATTTGTTTACATAGGTCTAAAATAAATGTTTAGTTTGTTGTCACAATTTTTTTATCTAGTATAAAGAAACATAGTTATTTATTGTTGCAGTTTTAAAAGATATACAGCTTAGAGCAACTCTACAGAGTTGTCATATACTCATATTGGCAGGTTTCATATTCATATTTAGCGCGCTCCATATGAATTATGGAGGCTGCTGCGGTGATGCGCAAACACAGTCACCAAATAATTTCTTTCATGATCATGGGACCCATGTGTCAATGAGACTTCTTTTTTCCTTAATTAAAATAAATATTTCATGTGAGGTGGGGGGCCATGTGAGCTCTGCTTTCCATCACACAAATCACATGCAACTGCATATGAAGTGTGCTTCAAAAGGCTGCCCCAAGACTCCATATATGAAGGGTAAGGCCCTTCATAAATTATGAAGCTCGGAGGGCATATAACGACAGCATAAAATCATCGTAATGGCAGTTATTATAACGATTGGGCATATAATGACTCTGGTAGAGATGCTTTTATACAAAGAGCTCAATGTGTGCAGCAGCTCGTCGCTGCTTGCTCGGGCGCTGACTGGTCAGGGGCGGGGGCGGATCTGGGGCTCCCTTCCCAGATCTGGCCGGTGTTGGCTGGTGCGCGAGGTGGGGTCAGCCGGTGGTTTCTGCGGGCGGTGGTGGCGGGCGGCAGGTGTGGTTAGGTGCGTGCGATCTGGGCGCTGGCCACGGCGGCCTCGGAAGGGTAGTCGTGGTGGAGCGGCGCACGACGGCGCTGGCCTGGTGCTCGTCTGGCTGCGTAGTTGGGGCGTCCAGGTCCAGCGCTGTCCAGATCTGCCGTCCTCGGCCGCTGGGTCGGCAAGGACTCTACTCCTGCCGATGAGCTACATGCGTGGAGGTGTCTCCGTCTGGTGGCGTGGTGGCGGCTGGCTGCTGGCTGCATGGCGGTGAGTGGCTGGGAGATGTAGGTTGCTGCCGGTGGCGGTGCTTGGTGGGGCGCTCATGGCGCCCAGTGCATCCTGTGGCTGCTGGTGCTGCCATGAGGCGCGGGCGGCGGTGCGGTGTGCCCTGAATAATCTGTTCACAGGGTGTGTGAATGCTCAACTCGGAGAAAGCCATGCTCTGTTCAGAGCCGACGAAGGTGATGCCCGTGGGCGCCACTACCCTTCCTGGAGGCGTCGTCAAAATGTTGATTTCACCACCCTTTGCTCGACTTCGGAGGAAACTCTGCTTCCAGGACTACCTGGAACCGATGATGGAGGCGCAATCGTGCGTCGCACCCCTTCTTGAAGGTATCATCGAGAAGTTGGCTAGGTTGTTTTGTTGGTTAGCTGCAAGCAGTGGGGTTGTTGGTGGTGGTGGTGGTGGTGTGACTGGTTTGGGGTAACGGTGGTGCGTGTCGGGGTCTGGCAACAGCACTCCTCCGTGCTGTGGAGCAGCCATCTCTACCCCGTATGCATGTCCTTGGTGGTGTTCTGTAGGGGTTCGGCGGCGGTGCCTTTGTGTCGTCCCTCTTGCTGTGCAAGCTCAAGACCCTCTCATGGTTGCCGTTGTGTTGCTGCGAGCTTCGTGCTCTTGGTGTTGCCTCGGTCATCTTTGCTCAATGACGCGCAAGTAGCCTCCCCAACTTGCTAATCGTCCCGAAGTTCACTGGCGAAGCTCGTAGTCAAGGTTCGTGCGTGGCACTCGTTGACTGTGGTGCTCCTGTGTTGCGCCGTGGGTTCGGTATGCACGCCGGTGCGGTGCGTTAGGTTCCTTGCAAAGTCTTGGTATTGTGTCCCTCGACATCACCCTACAACTACTTGTGTCTTTTATGGTGTTGGTCTTGTTAGTCTGCTAGCTATGTCCTGCCTTTGGTGGGCGCCCTACTCTTCTCATCTTCTTGTAACCTTGTTACTTGTACGGTTTTCGGCCCGGTTTTCCTTATAAACGGGTTCAAATTGTTTAGGTTTTCGATCTGGTTTCCCTTATAAACCGGATCACTCTCTGGCATAATGGCCACTTCGAGTAATATATTCAGGTGGAGAGACTCCTCCCCTGGTGATTCTCAAAAAAAAAAAAAAAGAGCTCAATGTCGAATCGCTTGAGGTCATCCACTTGGCGCTGGCAAAAAAAACATATTGCCGACAGAGAGCACACGACAAAATTGACAAAAAATCAGAAATATAGCTGCCAAGATTTTCTTGCTTAAGTGCATGCCCTGCGCGAAGAGGGGATTAATAATAAAGGAACAAATTGGAAGGAAAAATAGAGGAGGAACTCGAACAGGAGACATTAGGAGTACAAATTCGAGAACGTATATGTAACGATCACGGATTGATTCAACTTGTAATAATACAAATATGCTTCAAACCCTTGGCAACGCCATAGCAGCAACCCAAGCAACATAATCACATACCTTAGCTGTCATCGAATCGCAGCGGTCGTGATCTCTAAACCGGCGAACATCTGAGACGATGAGGAGGGATCCGCCACAATCTGCCGGCTCCAGGGGGCTGGCGGCGCTATCCGCCAGCCTCGCGCGGGGCATCGCCGGCAACCCCGTGGACAGCAATCTGGTCTTCTCGCCGCTCTCCATCTACACCGCGCTCGCGCTCGTGGCCGCCGGCGCCCGCGGCGCCACCTTGGACGAGATCCTCCGCGTCCTCGGCGCGCGGTCCCGCGGCGAGCTCGACGAGTTCGTCGCGCGTGCGGTGGGTGGCGCGCTGCGGGACCGGACAGACTCCGGCGGCCCGCGCGTGGCGTTCGCGTGCGGCGTCTGGAGCGACCTGGCGTGCCCGCTCAAGCCCGGGTTCCTCAAGGCCGTCGTCGACGGCGGGTACAGGGCCGAGGCCTCCACCGTCGACTTCCGCGGCGACCCCGACGGCTCGCGCCAGCTGATCAACGCGTGGGCGGCGCGCGCCACGAACAACCTGATCGACTCCGTCCTCGGCCCTAGGTCTGTGACCGAGTCCACCCGCGTCGTGCTCGGCAACGCCGTGTACTTCAAGGGCAAGTGGGACCAGCCCTTCGACGAGAGGAACACCGCCGACGCGCCGTTCCGCCGGCTCGGCGGCGCCCTCCCCGTCGACGTGCCCTTCATGCAGAGCTGGGATGAGCAGTTCGTGGTCGTGCACGACGGGTTCAAGGTGCTCAAGCTTCGGTACAAGATGGTGGACGCGCTCCTGACGCGTGATCCCAAGAAGCCCGCCCCATTCTTTCCAAAGCGTGCTCCGCTCCTCCGTCCTGATCGATTCTCTCATGCCGCTTCACCTTCCCGCCATGGTTCCTACGGCCGCGCCGGTCCGTATCCATACTCCAACGGCCATCCAAACGCATCTTCCAGTCTCGCCGGCTCGTACGGCGGCAATAACACGTCGTCGACCGCGTCCTCCAACAACAACAGTAACAACTTTAACTCCAGCTCCACACACTTCTCCTTGTGCATCTTCCTCCCGGACGCCGACGACGGCCTGCGCAGCCTGGTCGACGCGATCGCTTCACGGCCGGGCTTCCTGCGCGACCACCTGCCTCGCCGGAAGGTCGAGGTCGGCGAGTTCCGGGTGCCCAGGTTCAAGCTGTCCTTCCACGACAGCGTGGTCGACGTCCTCAAGGAGTTGGGCCTCAGCCTGCCGTTCAGCCCGCTGGGCGACCTGTCCGACATGACGGGACCCGACGACTCCGGCTTCGGAATGATCGTGGACGAAGTCGTCCACAAGGCGGTCATCGAGGTGAACGAGGAGGGCACGGAGGCCGCGGCTGTCACCATGGTTACTGACCGGTTTGGCTGCGCGGCCAGGTGCAATCCGCCGCCACAGGTGGATTTCGTTGCTGATCACCCGTTTGCCTACTTCATTGTGGAAGAGGAGAGCGGCGCCATCGTCTTCGCCGGCCATGTCGTTGACCCCTCGAGAGAAAGTTAGCAGTGTAGGCCGAATTTCAAATACAGTGCGTCTGAGATGAGGGCCAATTTTTGCAATTATTTTAGCATTTCAAAAGCGCCTACAAAAATTCTTCGACTGAAAACAGTTAGGATTCAGTTCTTCAATTAAGTGGTCTTTTAATTTGTACAACTATTTTAGCATTTCAAAAGCGCCTCTAATTTGTAAATAAGCTTTGCACCCTTTGAACCCTTGTCCATATGAGAGTGGATTTTCAGCTCCTGGATGCATAGGCACCCTCTATGAACAGTAAAATAAAAAAATAACAAAAAAAGATGGCAATTTGCAACCATGGGTATGTTTTACTGTACAGATGGATGGCATGTTGCAGTGACCATGGGCATCTTTTGTAATTGGCATGTTCGTGCTGCCAAATTGTTTCGGGTTGTTGCATGCGTTGGATTACGGATTTGTTGCAACCAATGAATTGCACAGATAAAAAATATTTCATGGTGTGTTGCATGTCTTTAAAATATGAGGAAAAAATGTTGCGATATTGTTTACTTTTGG